TGTGTACCCCATCCTACAATAACCTTAGCAGTTGGCATGACAGTGGGCGCCTTTTTTCTTATATAATTTTTAATCCAATCTTGAAACCATTGTTCTATGAGAGGGGACTACTTGCATTATGTAATGGACCTTTTTGGCTTGTTCAAAAAGAATTAAACATCTGAGGGTAACTGTTCCTGACAGAATAAAGAAGTTACAATGTCCCAGTAACATTAGAATAATGTAAGCAGGATTTATTATGCTCTTCTTCCTTCCCTTTGTCGTTTGCTGGTAGAAAACATTATGCAAAGATGAATATTCTGCTGGGAGTATCATATGTTATGCAAATATGATGTGTGTGTGTGTGTGTGTGTGTGTGTGTGTGTGTGTGTGTGAAAGCATATATATATTTGCAAAGGTATTAAATCATTGAGCAACAATTTTTCCAGGTTTGTTGAGTAGCAAAAAGACCAAGACCTATGCTACAGTGCTGAAAGCACAATTAAATTAAAGAGAGGACAGTGGTGAATAATTTGAAAATGTATTACAGCGTTACTAATTTGAAGTGTATGAAAGATTTTTTAAAATAATTATAATGCTATTCATTTGTCAATGTCTTTATTTGCAAGGAATAAAGGCTTGTAGAGATTTAATCTTTTGATACATTGCCAAGCAATGCATTTTGTGTTATTGTGCTTTTGTTTCATTGTCCTTTTCAGTAATAATCCCTAGTATGTTTGGATACCTCTTTTATTGAATGTTCTAGCATCAGTGAAAATACACTGACATCTTTAACTCTTGGGTGGAGAGAGACCCCTTAGTCCTGTTTTGTTCAAGAAGGTGAACAGATAGAAGCTGAACACATAGACCTGGCACTTTAAAGGTGACTAGATTTGTGGATATTTTTCTATATTGTTGATGCAGTGTTATCCTCATCCAAGTGTCAGCCTGTACTTTACCTCCATAATCTGGTTAGGGAAAAAGAATCCAACTGAAGTGCATTGCGTGACTGTTGGCTTGTTTTTCATGTGTGGTGACGTGTTGCTCAGTGCCACCTATCACCACATCCTTGACTTCTGTTGATGATGTGCTTCTTGGTGGACTACCGGTGGGACTGGGTACAATACATATGTATTTATATTATTATTTTTAGCCCACTGATTTGTGTAAGTTTGGTATATTGGTAAACTTGTATCTCAAAAATTAACTTTAAAATAGCCATGCAAACAAATACCTGCATGCCTGACCACAATGAACTTCAGGTTTCTGGAGTCAGGGAGGGCAGGGAAGCGCCAATTGAGGATAAGGACAGCGACACACAGTGCAAATGCACCCCATCAGTTACCACTCACTAGAGAGAATGGGATGGGACGCAGGTGGCGCTGTGGGTTAAACCACAGAGCCTATGGCTTGCCGATCAGAAGGTTGGCGGTTCAAATCCCCGCAACAGGGTGAGCTCCTGTTGCTCGGTCCCAGCTCCTGCCAACCTAGCAGTTCGAAAGCACATCAAAGTGCAAGTAGATAAATAGTTACCGCTCCGGCGGGAAGGTAAACGGCGTTTCCGTGCGCTGCTCTTGTTCGTCAGAAGCAGCTTAGTCATGCTGGCCACATGACCCGGAAGCTGTACGCCAGCTCCCTTGGCCAGTAAAGCGAGATGAGCGCCGCAACCCCAGAGTCGGTCACGACTGGATCTAATGGTCAGGGGTCCCTTTACCTTTACCTAGAGTGAATGGGAGCTAGAGTTCAGTTAACTCATGTGTTGATGAACATGCACAAAAACGTAAACTGAAACATTTGTAAACTGTGCCCCATTCATGCCTTAACACGCTGGTTGTGTACACAGTCAGAATTAGGGAAACATCCTAGATCCTAGTCTCTGGTTCACTGTTGGAGGAACAGGGGGGCTGGGGGGCACCGCCCCCAACACCATCGGGGAGAGAGGTACCATTGCGGCTGCCCCCAGACACATTCCACACACACCCCTGCACCAGGTGCCACGCCCCCGTGGATGGCACGCCATGCCCCTGGGATGCACACCCCACCCCGCGGATGACGTGCCATGCCCCCGGGACACGCGCCCCGCCACTGGGATGCGCGCCAGCCACGCCCCTGCCTGCTCTCTGCCCCTAGTGCCGGAGCATGCAGTTTCGCCACTGCTCTAGTTTGTTATGCATGCTGGACAGTATGAGTCCCTTCCTTCCTCTTTCCCAGCAGCACAGAGGCCTGGTTCACATATGTATCCATGTCATGACTACCTTAATGGGATGGAGGAGTCAGTGTGCTTTTCGATTTCAGCATGCCACAATGCAGAAGTGACATCTTGGCGTTGCTCCGCGCCTGGCTCCACATTCGGCTTGTACAATGGGGCCCCTGGCCCCCTTAAAAAAATGGATTGAGGGGGCCATTCTATTGTAATGGACATGGAATCTTAGTCCTCCCCTCTGTATGTAATCCTGAACTCTCAACTCTTTTTAAAAAGCAAGCAAGCAAACAAAACCCCCGAACGCTTTTAATGTACTTAGTAAATCCAAACAAAAGTGTTGAGGATTTCATACTGGTGTAGGGCTTAGTTTTATGAATTCATAATGGTAGTGCTTCAAAAATAACTTGAGCTGATCATTAATGTGTATGAGAACAATATTTTAAGTATTTTAAATGTATATTTTACCCCTTGAAATTGCTACTCAGTTTTGTAGCACACATTGTTTTTCATATACAGTTTTCAGCAAACAGGTCATGTCACATAATGTAACATGGCAAAATTGGCCTCAGGCTGTTTTGGAGGATGGTGGACTTAGCTTCTAAATCTCTTCTTAAGAGTTTGTTCCTTAAGGGAATCCTATTATTTGGGTATGAGGTGGATAACAGACAAAGACGTGGTGTGTAAACTTTTTTTTTTTTTTAAATGACTGCCACAGGGAAGACAGTGGCAGGTCGAACTGTGAAGAACTCACAAGGGATAGCTGCCTTTGAGATGCGGAAAATCTTCAAGATTGCTCTAGGAACCTTCCTTTAATGGTTCACAATAGAATTCAAGGGTGGGTGGGGGGGTGCTTCTTATGCTAACCTCTAACAACAGATTCCTTTATGGCCTGCCATAAGAAATGTCTATCCTCCTGGTGCTTAAATTGTATGCTAATTTATATCAGCAGAAATTTTGAGCAACAGTACAGTGTCAGTTCTCCAACTTTCTAACCCCAGGCCCTGCTTGATATGGATGAATATTACTGAGGCCAACCAGTCACAAAATGGTGGTGCAGGGGCACAGGCAGGCACAAAATCGTCAGGTGGAGCAGGTGCCATGTGACATGTCATGTGATGCCGCCAGAGGTGGGAAATGCAGAGAGTGATCTTCGCCTTTGCTTGCCCCGACTCCGACCCGGTTCCTTGGCTGCCAAGCGGGGGCTGGGGCTGGGGCACATGGAGGGCACTCAGCAGCGGGAGGGGGTGGCAGCCACCTAAATATTGGGGGTATAGCCCCCTTCCCCAAAATATTGGGGGGCTGGAGTCCTTTGCACCCCATATATTCAGCGCCCCTGAGGTGGAGGCAGGGTTTAGTACATCCAGCAGATAATTACTGGCATCATTTTCTATTGATACCCAATCAATCTCTGCTGCCATGGATGGGCTTTCAAAAACCAGGGGTGGTGTGGTGAGGAGAACCTGACAGGACAATGACCTCCATCAGTTTCCTTCTCTTTTGCTGTCTCCAGTACAAAGGAAAGAGTGTGCATCCTGGATTTCCCTAAATAAAAAAAAAAGATTGAGGACTATGTGAACCTCCCTTCCGTGTATCATGTTCCATGTTTTATAGCGTACAAAGATAGCAACTGAAACCAGATGTGAGAAAGAAGAGATAGCCGTTGTGCGATTATGGTAGTGGAAATGAATGAATCTGTGTCTTTGTGAACATCTATGTTTCTGGATATGTAAATAAATACTCAGGGATTAGGAAAAGAGGTTCCATGCCTTTCTAGTTGGCTTTCCAGTTTGCCCCCATATCTTTTTATGATTACTATCAGTCACAAAGTATATGATTGATTTGATATGGTTGATTTGATTGACACCCTATGCCCTTTTAATATGTGGGGTTTGGGGGGGGCCGTTATTGGGTTGTTGTTTTTGCTTTGATTATGTATTTTGTGGTTTTATATTTTGATTTTATTCTGTGAACTGCCCTGAGACCTCCGGGTATAGGGTGACATATAAATTCAATAAATAATGATGATGTAAGTTATATTTCTGAAATAATGAAAAAGCAACCCTGAGTTGTGAATGGTGGTGGTTTGTATCTTACATGCCAAATGTTGGTGTATGATTTGACTGGTTGCCATAGCTCTGAATTTTGGAGTAATTTTTGGCATTCCACAAGTATGTCAACAGAAGTTATGCATTGCAATTATTTAAGTGAACTCTGAGAAAGACCACACTGCTCTAGAAAAAGACTTAAGACTCTGCATAAAATATACAATTTTCTCTCCATCGTTATTTTCTTGACAATTATATCTCTGGGAGGCCAGTGTGTATGAATCAGTATTACTGTATTTTAAAAGCTTTCCTTCAAAAGCAGCTTGCACACAGCACACATGTGTTTCTTGCATTTGTTTGGAGAGAGAGAGAGGGAGAAAATATATATTTGCTGAGCATATATTTCGATCATTCCCAAGGGCAAGGCTAAACTGATATTAGTGATTATTGCTAATAAAGTCTGCATTTCATTCCATATAGTAAATGTAATTTAGGTTGACATCTGAAACATAATGCATGTTTAATTAGTTAAGAAAATTACATGATGGAATGTCTTACTTTGAATTATCTATCAAAATAATAAACTGCAATGTAACACTGTTGCTCCTTTTAAAATGATAAAACACACTAACATTTTACAGTACCATTTTGCCCGTTGTCCATTTTTCTTAGCTGTTTCTTGTGACATTCTCAGATGCTTCAGACTTCAAAATATTTAGGCATATATACCGGTATATACACATATATTTAAAATATGTCTTGTTCTTGGTCAGTATTTGTCAGGTTCAACTCCAGCCATGGTTTCCCAGTGGAGGTTGATTCAGACACCAGCATCTTCCAGCTCAAGGAGGTGGTTGCTAAGCGACAGGGAGTTCCAGCTGACCAGTTGCATGTGATTTTTGCAGGGAAGGAGCTCAGGAATGACTTGACACTGCAGGTAAGTCTCCCTTGGTAGTTTCCTTTCTGGGATGCTGCCAGCCTAACTGCTTCTGCCTCTAACATTGCCAATCTGACATTCACTCCTGAGATCTAATAGAATAAATAGTGCCTGGGGATTCCTTGAACTTTACTCCACACTGCTTCATTAATTCTGACCTTCTTAATTATGCATTAAAACAGCAAGGCAAAAGGATGGGGAGGGGAGGAAGAAGGAAAATGAGAGGGGGAGGAGAAGAGATCTTTGCTTAGTGAATAAATGTTTACTGACTACAGGAGCAAGCTATGCACATTTTCTGTATCTGTTCAATTTCTACATTACTTATTCCATTTGAATCTTAATGAAGAAGGATGTGAATAAATTGTTCTAAATCAGGCCGCTCAGTCATCACATTATATGAAATTTGTAACCCAATTGTGACCCCTGGAGGATAGTTGTAAGGCTGCTGTTGCTGCTGTGTGAGAGTGTGTGTAAGTGCACGTGCTGATGAAATAGAGTCCTTTTGAAGGCCTGATCGCAGGAGCCAGTAAGGTTCTCCCAAAGGCACCAAAGTGATGATTTACTTGCGGGGGGGGGGGGGGAGAGGAAGGGGAGAAAAAATTAGCTGATAGGGGACGGGAGGTGTAGAAGTTGCTGAGTTCATCACATCCTCATGGTTTAGCTAACGGTTGTGTTAAAATGTAAAATGGAGAAGAAGGTATCCTTAGGGAAGCCCCTATTCTTTCAGCCAATGTCTGCCCTCCCCTTCTTGCAGAATGGGGATAATGATACTGGCTGGGCTCTCAGGGCTGTTGTAAGGATCGCTGACACAATGTGCACAAAGTGCTGTATCAGAACTAAGTATTATTACACTGAGAGGGAAAACAGCTTGACAGTACAGGTGTAGAATGAATATACATTTTTGTAAGGCTCCTTGCAGCTATGATCTTCCCCGGTGCCTTCGTTGTTACCAGCGTGTCTGATACTTTGTTCAATTGGGAGTTTCCTTTTGATCTGAACAAAAGATTGCATGTAACGAGGTTGCATTTCGGAAACCTCGAATTTGCCAGAGAGGATAAATTGCTCTGTTCCTAGCAGCATTATTGTGTTCCTGCTGCTGCTGTCGTCACACCATCAGTACGTGGTGCTTTACAGTTTCATAAGCCAAAAATCCAGTCTCTGCACCCCCGGAAGTTCACAGTCTAAATATGGTAAGGGGGGGGGGAATGCAATAAAGGGAGGGGGAAACAAGAGACAAAGGCAGCAATAGATAAATGCCATTAAAACATTAGGTTTGGTTCCATTCGGGTTTGCAGTTGGGTAATATGATTAAGGTGTTACAGGGAACACTTCATAGAATCATCAAATCATAGAATTCCTGAGTTGGAAGGGACCCCAGAGTCATCAATTCCAACTCCCTGCAATGCAGGGATCTCAACTAATGCACACATAACAAAAGGCGCAGGACAGAACCCTGCAGCTAGGTATTTGCTTACCACCTCTTTTCCTATTTGGGCTGCATCTCCCTCCTTGCATTGTTTATGCAGTTATCACCAGGTTGGGCCCTGCTTTCCTTTTGGGTGAGCAGTGGGAAAGTAGGTGTTGAGCAGTTTCACCTTCTCTCTGTCACCCAATAGCATTTCTCAATCTTCTCCATGCAGAGGACCTACTTCTTGCTTGTTCTTTCTGTTGCTTTGACCATAGCAGAATAAACCTGTATTATTATTTACATTAAACCTTTATTGTAAGCCTGAGATCATTATGAGCTTTGGCCCACTGGACCTGCTCCCTACAACTGCTGGCTGCTCGTGTATACCCTTCCTTCATGATTTCTCCCCTATTCCATTTCTTATACATGCCCTGCATGAAAAGGTGAAGTTCTGAGGGTGTGTGAGTCATGTATTCCTACTGTACAGCAGCAGCATCAGAGAACCAGGCACCTTCCTGTGGTCACCCAGGTAACTATCTAAAAGGGGAAAGTTTACCCAAAGGCAAACACTTCCTGTTTTCTAACCAGCACAGATTAATTGGCCCTCATGTTTACAGCTGTGTGGGAGCATTGCTATGCATTGAGTAGCTGCTGTGTCTGGTTGCACAGAGAGCTGCTACTGTATTGACATCCTATCACTTCTCCTAGCCAGGTATGATACTTATCGCTTTGCAAAATGCTTTAGGGAGTTTGGGCACACAAAAGAAACTATAGAAATGCAAATTGCTCTTGTCATTCCTCAGAGCATCTTCTGCTGCCGAAGCATACAGTTGCTTCTGTGTCAAGTGTCTCCTTTCCCTTTCTGATGTCTTACTGGAAAAAAAGAGGGCCTTCCTTGCTGTTGCATCCCTATCTTATATATGATGTTGTTTATTAAAATGCAATAAACTATTTATATGGGAAGCTTTTGGTTGACAAATGTTAGGATTGTAAGGTTTTGTTAGCTGTTCATATGTTTCTTACACCTGTCTGCATTGCTGTCTAATTCTGGCATCAAAGTGTTATAATTGTTGTTTAATTGTGTCAGGCTGTTTCTGGGTGAAATGCAAACTGTGACTTCAGTTTTCTTCAAATAGGGAAACATAGCTTCCTGCAGCTTGAAACAATGAATGTAAAATAGAAGGTTTATCTGTTTTTTCATAGTAACAAGAGAGGCTTCTCATGCCTGTGTCTAGTTCCTCACATTTATTCACAGTTTTCTCTTCAGTCATGAGCTTGCTGCTTTGTTGACAGTGCGCTGAGCACACACATTAGCAATTGTTCACAGCAAAAACTAGTCCTGCCTCTTGCGGAAGGGAGAACATCCTGTGATATTTCAGCTGCTCTTCTTGCCAACTTTTGTCGTGAACATTTCACTTTCAGTTTATAGAGACTTAAGTCCACGGATGTATGAGAGAGAGGATGGGCAAGAGCATGTTGAGGGCAACGTGTACACTTTCGCATTCACGTGTTCGGGCAAAAAGAATCCATAGCATAGCAGGAATCAGGTTTGTTGAATGGGCGAGTGGAAGGAAATCTGCTTGCTAGCCTGTTGTCAACAGATTCTTCCAACATTCTTACATTTAGTAAACATCCTCCGACATTTAGTAAACAAACATTGACACTGTCAGCCTTGCCTAATATTGTATTTGCTGTTGGCATCTGTTCATTCCTGCTAATGAAACAGAAAATTTTCTGTGGACATATCACCCCATATCAGGATGTGAATAAGTTTAGGTAACCTGTTCTCCTGCCTGACTTCCCTCTCTCACACACAAGAGCAATGGGAGAACAACACAGGGGAAGATATCACACAGTATTCTCTAGTCAGAAATGTGTCTGGCCATTTAATTAATATATGCAACTCCCATTATTTTCTAGTTACATCTATTGCTTGTTGTGTTCCCAGTGTGGCCATATTTGCTCAAAGATGCTCTCTTTCTCTTGGCTTCAGCAGGAGAACTGAAGACTTTCTCCACTTGAAAGTTGAGTATAGAAAGCAAGGGAAGGAGTGGGCTGGAAAGGTTTTTGGCACAGGTGTGAAGAAGAGGGGTGCGTAAGGGAGATTCTGAGATCGGCTGTGACAATTTTGCTCAGTATTTTCAGGATAAAATCGCTATTCTCTAATGGTCTCCACAGGAATGTGAACACCAATGTTAGTACAGGTCCAAATGAGATGTCCAGTGCACCATCCTGTCCGATTTTGAAAGCTGCTGGTATTCAGAAGCCATCTTGCTTCTAAGAGTTTGACTCTTGTCCATTGTGGCTTGAACTAGCAGGTAGTGGGTGGGTTGATAGGGTGGGTCCAGAGAGTGGTGAATGTGTATGTATGGAAGCTGCATTTAAGGTTTAGCCTTTCCTTTAAAAAGTCCTCTTTGGACCCAGAGGTTTACAATAATTACCACCCAGTTGCCACTAACTCTTTTGGGGGCAAGAGAGTACTGGTTGTCCATTTTCATGTGCTCTTTATAGAGACTTTATAAACAAACAAACAAGTTTTGAGGAATCAGAATGGTTGATGAGAAAATTCTGAGATTCACAACCTTCAAGGATTGTGTCTCTTCATATGAACCCTATGATCATAATCTGAGGCCCTTCTTTGTATGGCTCATCCATGAGAGATCTGGAGGGTGGTGACACATGAACAGGCCTTTTCTGCAGTGGCTCTCCTTTTGTGGAATTCGCTCCCCAGAGAGGCTCACCAGGCACCTTCATTATACAGCTTTAGGTGCGAGGCAAAGACATTTCTCCTCAACCAGGCCTTTGGCTGATTAACATTCTATGCCCTTTTAAAGGTGTTTGTGGGAGGGGAATGGGGTGGGGCTGGCTGTTTATTGGTTTGTGGTTTTTTTGTTCTTTTTAAAATGATGTTTTTATCTTGTATTTTTATGTTGTGAACTGCCCTGAGATCTATGGATGGAAGGTGATACACAGGTTTATTAAACAAATAAATAAATTATCCAGTGTAAAATTTAAAATAATTATCTTATTTCCTCTGACATATTACTGTTTAAAGGAACATATCAATAGCAGAATGTGAAGTAAATCTCACTGCTTGTAACTTGTACCAGATATAATTAGTGATACAGATAGTTGTGCTATTTTTTACTGTATACTTTATACACTCCTAAGAGGAACTGTAAATTACCACAATTTATGGAGCGGAAGGTTTAGACTTCTGTCCTTCCATGTAATTGAGTATTTGGGTGGGGGGAGTGAATTATGTGCTAGGAATTGCCTGAACTAATTCACCTTCATCTTGATTTTAATGTGAGAAGTGATATAAATAAGGTCTGACTGACTCCATGTGTTGTAATTCAATTGGACTCTTTCTGATGAGAAAACTGTTGGGTTTAAACAGTAGGAGGCAGTGTGAGCGTCTGCTGTGAGTTGAAATTAACACGATTAAGCAATTTGGAAAGTTTATTTGGGAAGTTCATACTTTCTGTTAATGTTCCCTGTAAGTAGATCTTTTTCACAGCTTCATCCCCTGAAAAGGGCTGGCATTGGCACAAAAAAGACAGAGTCCAATGTCAGGACTGGTCGTTGTCCT